TGGCTGGCTGGCTGGCTGGATGGATGGATGGATGGATAGACGGACGGATGGATAGATGGTCTCACAACTCCCTGTCCTGGAAATTGTTCTGCTCCCCCAGCATGGAGCAAGAAGGAGTCCTACTGGCACAGTGCTATATATTCCAGCTGCTCATCAAAAGGTCAGTGGTTCGAATCCAGCAGCAGCTTTGCAGAAGAAAGACGGGGCATTCTGCTCTCACAAAGATTGGCACCTTTGGAAACCCTATGGGGTAGTTCTGGAGGTGCTGAGAATCTGCCTCCTCCACTCACCAGCAGGAGATACCCTTGCAGTAGTTGAACCCTGGCTCCAAAGGCATGCGGCTGGATATCTTCTGGGCCCGTTCGAACAAGGGGGGCGCTTCTTCAAGTTTGCCGCTTCTTCGTAACAGATCAATTAATTTATTCAGTACTAGAAAATTATCTGAAATGATAAAGAGAGCAGGAATCTCCAGGCAGTAAGAAAGCCTGTTGGGGGTACTGTAACCTGGCAGGAAGAAGCGAGGGGGTGCTGGGCTCCCAGGGGGCCAGCTGCAAGAAACACTGCCCGTCCAGGCTGAACCAGGACATCCCAGGGCTGCCTCACGGGCTGGTGTTGAGAAAGCAATGCTTAGAAAGTGGAATGCGGTACTCCTCCTCAGGGTCACCCTGATGAACGAGATGAATCCGCTACACACTGAGGCCTCGTTCTTCTCGTCCTCTACACAGACAAGGAAACAGCCACCGAGCAGTCAGTGAAGGAGGTAACCTGCCCAAGATGGCATGGCTAGTAGGTGAGTGGCAGGCTAGGCTGCAGATGCAGGAAGCCTGGCTGCGGGGCCCACACAGCCCCAAGCACTTCTATCTGCGGGAGCCAAGGGAGACTGGCCCTGGGGGTGGGGGGTGGGTTGGGTTGCCTGTCTGCAGCCTAAGCCGAATGTTTGGGAGTGGGGGGGGGGTGCTTCCCTAGCAAGAAGGGGGTGTTCTGGAGCTAATACTGGGGGAGGGTTCTGGGGGCCCTCCAGGTAGCTATAACTTCAGGCCACCGTGAGTCCCAGGGCTGGGATTTGGAGGTCCACAGACTGTCCTTGGTCCAAGGCCAATCAAGCACTGTCCTGTCAGGAATTGGTCCCTTGGCTTTTCAGGAAGGGCCAGCAAGTTCCATCAGATCTTCCTCCGTTTTTCACCTTTGTGGGAATCTTCAGAGAGGAAGGGGCTTCCTCAGCCCCCTCAGGAAGGAGAGGAGAAGGGCCGGCCCCGTGCTTCCAGCGGCTGGCTTGGGACCTGCAGGCAGACTCTCAGGGGCCAGCCTACCTGGTGTTTTTTCCAGGACCTGCTGGTAGAGACCCTTGGCACCGTCGTAATTCTGCTTTCTAAACATCAGGTCGGCCATCATCTATCAGAAAACACACAAAGCCCCAGCATTCCTGGCGTTCAGGTGTGCACGGATGCGGGCATGGTGGGTGCCGGGGCTGGGGTGAGGGGAGGGGAGGTAGACAAAGGCCTGCAGTGCGGCCTCCTAAGGCCCTGGAGCAGTGGCCACAGGAGGAGCCCAAATCTGCGGGTCCCTCAGACCCTCACTCAGAAGGTGGGGACAGCAAGGATGGGGTGGGGTGGGAGAATGGGGACATGAAACAAAGGCTAGGTGAGCCTAGGGAGGCCCCACCCGGACCCCCACCTCCAGGCAGCAGAGGTAAGGAAGGGGTGTGTGTGTGGGGGGTGTGTGTGTGTGGGGTGTTCCTCCTGTATTCTGCAGGGGCTCTTCTGCTCCCAGGGCAGCCATGGGCGCGGGCAACAATCCCCTTGGAAGGCGAGAGCAGATTGAGGGCACCTCTCCCTACATACTTCCTGAAACCCTGGAACCTGTCCCAGCTTGGCCTTCAGGGACAGCAGGTGTGGTTTCCCTTAGAGTCACTCAGCCCTCCCTACCCCTCCCCTTAGAAGGCCCAAGCCTGTGTTGCTGCCCCCTGCTGGTCCACCCACACCTCCCCAGAGAGGCAGCTGGTTCATCCCTCCCACCCCCCCATGTCTTGTTCGCTTTGCAGATGCTCAGGGCAGGAAATGGAAATGGGGAGCCCAGGTATCAAGACAAGGACCTACCACCAAGGCCGCCTCATCGTCCTTCTCCGTCTGCAGGAGGATGGCACAGTGCTGTTCGCACAAGTCCAGCTGCCCCTGCAGCAGGCAGAGCCTCGCCAGCTCCAGCACCACCTGGGGGCAAGGTGGATGGGCCCACTAACCAAGGTGGCATGGGGAGAAAGCTCTGGGATGGGGCGTGGCACTTCATTTTCCTTCATGCTGCCCCGTTTCTGTGGGCTCTGCTTTTGTTAAATCTCAAATCCCCGGGGACTCCCTGGCCCACCTATGCTTCTCCCAACACTCCAGCTGGACCTCGTACAGAACTCTGAAAGTCGGGCTCACCTCTTCTGGGAGGCCCTTGGTGGTCCGGGCATGGTGTGACCAGCCTGCTCCTGGTCAGCTTCCCCCTAGCCCCAGGGCAGGGAGCATATCTTGCCCCACTGTGTCGGGACCTGGCACAGATCAGCAATCTGCCCGAGGAGGGAGCCTTTAAGTGGCTAAACAGGCCCTTCTCCAAGCAATTTTGCCACTCTCTGAGCTCAAACTTCCTTAGCTGCTGGCTCCGCACCTGGAGTCACACTGCCCTCACAGCCCTGTGGCTACCTTCAGGGACATTCATCCATCAGCCCTGTCACCTCCTCATCAAGATGATACTGACTCATAGCAACCCTATAGGACAGGGCAGAACTGCCCCTGTGAACTTCCAAGGACATAACTCTTGATGGGAGGGGAGAGCCCCCTTTTTCTCCTGCAGAGCAGCTGGTGGTTTTGAACTGCTGATCTTTCAGATTGCAGCCGAACTCATAACCACGTTGCTGCCACCGGGGTCCTCTGAAGAGACCCGGAAATAGCAGATTAACATCCCCCTCCCCCACCATGACTTCCCAGTTTGACTCCTGAATGGTGGCAGGTATGGACCCTGGGATCAGGCTACAGCCCGCCTGTTGACCTCCCCACCCCTTCCAGCCACAGCACCTGGTCAGGGAGCTCAGCCTGGCATGTGACCAGAGAGGCCAGGGACACGCACCTTGTTGTCGGTGGGTGAGTAGGAGAGGGCGTCCTGGTAAGCCCGCACCGCCTGGGAGTACTCCTGCTCCGTGAAGTGGAACTCCCCAAACTGGACGCAGATGGAGGCTGCCAGTTGCTTATGCAAGGGGATCATTTCTGGCTGCTCCAGGGGAGCCCGCTTTAGTATCCGGGACTGGAGGTCCAAGGCCTTGGGAAAACCCAATCGGCCCCAGATCAGGAAGCAGAGCCCGGCTCGCCAGGGGCTCAGGCACATCTGCACAAAGGTACCGTGCTCTGAGTCCACAGGCAGCAGGGTCAGAAAAGGCCGCTCCAGTGCCTCCAGGCCAATCTGGGTCACCGTGGACAGGCAAGGCCAGCTCTGGGTGCACCCGGAGGGGAGCCGGCTGGGAGCTCAGACAAAGAGCTCTATTGTGCTTCAGCCATGTCCTGGCTGGTCCCTGTTTATCTTGATGTACAGGGTCTGATTTACTTTGGCTGTCCTCTGAAGTGGAACAGGCACACAGTAGGTGCTCAAGACAGGTTGTACTTTGTGGAGGCGTTTTGTTCTGAACGTCTTGCCCTGCTTGGGATTTGAGGGACCCAACCCCTACTCCCACTCCCACCCCCCACCGGTCGCTGCCTAATACACAAATGACCCAGTGCGTTAAGTGGGAAGTCTTGGGACGAGAGGGTATGGAAGGACACCTTACCAGAACTGGGCACAATTGGCCCCCGGCTCCCCAGGGGCTGCCAGCCAGCCAGTGGGGATCCTGCGTGCTAGGTGGTCAGTAAGCAAGGGACAGATTCATTTCAAGCGGTCAGAGAGTGGCCTTTCCCTCGGTCCCCTCGGAGTGCAACCAGGAACGCATGCCAGGCCACAGCGTGAGGCAGGACACGTGGGGAGGATGGCGGCGGAAGTGACCTGGGGGTGCTCTGATTGGGGGCTCCCAGTGTAGCAAGAAATGGGCTGAGAGTCAGCAGCAGCTCTGGTTCAAATCCTAGCTCTCCTGCCTCTGAGCATGTTTCTGAAGCTCTTGAGCCTAATAGGCTTAGGTCTGCAGTGGGGACACCGAAACTCTTACCTGACAGTGCTTCTGTGCCAACCGAGGAAAGCAGTCCCTCGGAGGGAGCCTGGCAGTGTGCATTCATCGTATAGGAGCTGTATCATCGCCCTGGGCTAAGGGTGTCTTACTCCCACTCCTGACCCCTTCCCCAACCCAGGCAGCCTGGCTCACAGCACTTTGCGACAACATTGAAGAATAAGCAAGTGTGAGGGAGAAGGCGTGGGGCAGAGGGGTAGCCCAGAACCAGGCCTGGACCCCCTCCTTCCTTCCCCAGTCCCTATTAGGCTCTGGCAGGTGAAGAACTCTCATTGGTCCATTACCTTGTTCAAAGTTTCCATCACCTCTTCCCTTTTGTTGTGCTTGTACACCTTTGCCAGCAGGAGGAGGCACTTGACAACAGTCATCATCGAAGGAAGGTCGTTGGCTGCAAAACGGAGCGTTAGTTTTCCTAGAGCTCCTGGGAGCCGCTTGAATGGCCCATCCCTGGCCCTGCCTGGCAGCCTCAAGGGCCGCGCCTCACCAAAGTCATGTTCCAGCGCCTGCTTCAGGACCCTCTCTGCCTTGGCGAACTTCTTTAGTTTCAGGAACAGCTCAGCCAGGTCGCAGCACAGGAAGTCCTGTGCGCCGATCTTCTGAGCAGCTTCGTAATAATTGACAGCCTGGGTGCAAACGGGAAGGGTGGGCATCAGGGCCGGTGTCCGGTGAAGTATGCTTGTCAGGCTGGAGCCCCTGACTCCCCGCTGCCCTCAGCAGACCCCACCTGCTCCTGAGCGCCCCTCCAGGACACAGACATCTAAGCCAACGAGGGAGGCCCACCTGTGTCTCAGCTGGAAAGCAGGGAGAAACTCAGGTACTCTCTTCCCACCCAAGCCCTCCCACTTATGAACCCTTCCCCCATCACCACCTGCCCAGGGGCTGAGCCCAGCCTGACCTTGCCATACTGGTGTGTCTTCATGTAGGCCTGCCCGATCCTGCTGACCAGGGAGGCGTCGTGCGGATTCTTCCTGTACGCCTCATCGTACACCTCCAAGGCCTTCTCGGGCTGGTGGGGAAAAGTGTGTATGTGGTGTGTGTGTGTGTGTGTGTCGGGGGGCGGGGGAGGAGGGATGTCTCTCCTCTGTCACAAGAGAAGTGAGATCGGGCTGGGCGGGGAGGGGAGCGGGATCCTTTTGGCCGTCCATCTGGGAGGCTTCTCGCTCACCTCTTGAATGTGCATGAAGGCATCCCCCAGGAGCAGGCTGGTGTGGGGGCCGGGCAGGTTTTCACAGAGCTCCCTGCAAAGGATGAGCTTGTCTTGGGGCTCCCTCACGTTTCCTGCACCCATGCCCTTCTCTTCCCGCCCTCTGCTTCTCACGGCCCCTGATTTGAACTTTCATCCAACCAAGGATCACCCACCTGGCCCTTACTGAAAGCCCACCCCCACACCCCCCGGGGAGACCTTGCACTGATTGCCCCCTCCACCCCGCCCCCAATTCAGGCTTGGCTCACTCAGCCCAGGCTGTGGCCAATTGCTGGTTTCACGGATCTCTATTCCCCCAGCCCCCCAAACCCCTCTCCAGAACCCACTCCGTTTAAGGCAGCCACGCTGTTCTTAAAACCCCATCCTCACCACACTACCCACGGTGTCTTGGTCTCCACTGCCCTTGGGATGCTCTCCACCACTCACCCTCACCCCCTCAGGAAATCATCTACACGGGGTTTGGTCTAAAGGGACTGGGAATGCGGCCTTGAGATCCCAACACCAACTCGGAAGAAGACAGCAGCTTGGGGCCTCAGATACCCATGCCACATCCTCAGCCTGCACCCACGTCTGGTGCCATCCCAGCATCCGAACACTCTTCAGGGCAGGTTGAGCCAGTGGTCAGAGCCGGGGTGCATGCCCACTGTTTGGAGAACCAGGCCTGGTCTCTCACCAGGAGGTGAGCCATGTGTGGGGACCAGGGTCTGACCTGTCTGGTCTGTGTCCTCAGAACTCAGGAGCAAGCCAGGCTAGCAGACTGTGAGTCAGGTTTATTGTGCCAACCTGGCCAAGAGGAACATGTGGGATGAATCAGGTGGCAGTTTGATTGGAGGGCAAAGAGATAAATGGCTCGGCAAGACCCACCCCCCTCTCAATTGCTCTCTGGTGATTGAACCAGCATGCTGCTGCTTTAGCTAGTTCTCTGCCTCAACCTGTGAGCTACCCTACCTGCGGACTAGGCCAACTCATGGATCATGTCGCTAGAACCTGAGGCTCCTTCAAGACCTGCTTGCCATGGTACTAGCGTGTACATTGCTTCAGCTTGAGGCTGGTGGATCCTGTCACCTTGCATTGATTACGTTCATATCCCGTCAGGGCCTGCTTCACTAAGCTCCCGAGCTACTGACTGCTGGCAGACTCTGTCTGCCTTCCGCCAGGGAGGACTCTGCTGTCTGCGTCCTTGACCTTGGGCCTGGAAGCCCTCCTGAGTTGAGGGACTTCCAGTACATTAACTGTTCCATAGAAGTGAGTTGAACGGAACCCTCTGTATAGCTGCGTGGACTAATTAGCTGTTATCTTCCTTCTTTCTGTAGAAGTGTCCTGGTTTCGTTTCTCTAGAGAAACCTGCCTAACACACAGACCTAACACCTTGCGATTCTACCCCATTAGGATTCACAGTGGCGTCTCAAACACTGCCAGAGGGCACCACCTGAGGACCCAGGTTGAAGATGCATGCTCCCTGAGGCCGTGGGTAGGAGAAGGGTCTGGTGCCTCACTGCTGAGGGGGACTTACCGGTAGCACCCTATATACAGGCGGACGTCTTTGCGGGTCTGCAGGTAGATGCTGGCCATCTTCTCCTTGGCCTCCGTGTAGCAGGGCTGCCTGGGGGTGACGTTCCGCAGCATGCTCAGCGCCGCGTCCACATTCCCCTTGCTCAGGGCCAAGTCCACATTGGCTAGGGTGATGCGGATCTCTTCCTGGGTGCCACTGAACTCGTTGATGGCATCCTGAATGACTTTGGTGGCCTCGTGCTGCCATGTGGAAACCAAATCCATCCTCACATCTGTAGACCCCCCCCCATCCCAACCCCAAACCCACCCCTGCACAGTCTCCGGAACGTGAGGAACTCAGAGTCACCCCGTTTCCACACCTGCTCCGTGAGAAGCGTGGAGACAGAGCTGGGCTTGGGTGGGACCTGCAGTGGGGCTGGCAGGGAGAGCGTGAAGAGGGCCCAGAGAAATTCATGGCACTGCTCCTCCTGGAGGGCAGGGGCAGGGCGGGGTGGGTGGCTGGCTAGCTTGGGGTGCTGGTTATCAGTTGCAATCAAATGGATCTTTAAGTACAGCGTCTCCACGCATGGGAGAGGAGAGAGCCCTGTGCCGTGGAAGCTTCAATGGCTGCTTTTCAGAAGCAGATGCCCCCAGCCGTTCTTCTCAGGGCCCTCTCGCTGGGTGTACTTAGGCGTCTAAACGTTGAGGTATCAGCTGACGCGTTAACCATCTACTACCCTGAGACTCTTCCTGGGGGTACAGGAAGGAACCCTTGAATCCTAAGAGCCTACTTGTGTGTTGGCACCCCAAAGCCTTGCCTAGTGCCGTGCCTCCTTTGGGATGCAACTCCCAACTTGTGTTGCCAGCAAGCAGGTAATTCCACGTGATGGTACTGGTCACCCCAGGGTCTTCTCAGAGTTCTATTGTCTTTCTCTTTGTACCTTGAATCATTTGGATCATGATTAGGAACAGTTTCATTCCTTGTTTTAAACAGGTTGATGAGCACTTCATCCACACGTCAGACAGTTCAATTATACCAGGGAGAGTTGTCACCACTTGCAGTTCTAGAACATCTTCCTCTTCCCTGTACCCGTGGTTATTCATGTAAGTATATATACATTTTTCCAACTGTGGTCCAAGTACACGCAACCAAACATTCTCGGATGCCACAGCGTCCCCTATATGGCCCCGTGCCACCGATGAGACACACCGTGTTGTACAATCTGTATCGATATCCTTTCCCGAGTGGCTTTCCCTCGTTCCACTGTAGCAGACGTCGAGGCCTCCACCCCGGTGTTCCACATGCGTGTCTGACAGGTGTGTGCCATCCTTTCGTGTTTGTTCTGAACTCTTTGTGGCTCTTGGGAGCCGGGTTGCCCTTGTGTCCTGGCTCTTGTGCTGACATCGCTGGGACGTGTGTCATTTAAGGGGTATGTTCGGTGCATCGACCGTTTGGTCATCGGAGATACTTGTGTTGCAGCTCTCTTGGGCTAATGTTTTTGTCCGTATGTTTGCTGCTTGGGCTTGGCTTTGTGCCTTGGGCCTGCCTGTGGATACCTGACCCATTTTCTCCCCACTGCCCTACTCTTGATGGAAATAGACGTGTCTCCATCTGATCAATGAACACCTTTCCATCACACACTGTTCTCTTCAGGGGAACGTTTTTTCTTTCTCTCTCAGCATGTGAACCGAAGGAATCATTTCAGACTTGCTCAGCTGGGGAAGAGGAGTCTGCTCACATTACGCCCCCACCCCTCTGCAGATGTTTTCATGGGCTCTTATTTTGACTTTATATAAATTATATTTCAAGACTTGGCAGTTAAGAGTCAAAATTGCCGAAGTATAAGACACATGTCTAGATAGAGTGATTTAGACGAGTTCAGTGTTACATTGGACTCAACGCTGTCATTTTATACTGTTTGCTCCCCATGCATGGAAGTGCCCTTGCAGTTCATGTTCTGGCTGACTGTGATTTCCTAGATTTCCCAGAAGGTTGGATGAACACTGTGATGTTTGAGTTCCGGCAGTGACTTCTTCAGAGTCCCCTCCCCGGTTTCGTATCTGGCAGGTGTCCTGGGGGCGTCCTCCCTCTCTCAACACAGTAAATATTGTTCTCTCGTTTGCTTGGATTTTGTACCATTGAGACAAAGTCTGAGACCGACTGGATTTCTTTTCTTTCCTCATCTGAGACCAGATTTTAACATTGGTAAAGCGGGACACCATTGATAAAACTCATATCCTGGCGAAATAGCCACATGGCAGCCACATAGCTTGTCGTCCATTCTTTCCAAAAATCGGGACTTTCTAAAAATGCCACGGGACGCAGGAAAAATTGTTAAAAATCGAGACTGCCAAAAGCGGGACATCTGGTCACCTAGGGTAAGATGCTCTCGGTTTCCACACTGGTAGGACCTATGGTGTGCATCCTTAATCCTGATCCCCACAGCTTCATTAGGCGATTTTTTGGTCTTAATGCAGTTCTCAACCTGTGGGTCGTGACCCCTGTGGGGATACAATGACCCTTTCACAGGGGCCGCCCGATTATTTTTTTAAAATTCTTTTTGGTAAGAGCCGCCCGATTCTTAACAGTAGCAAAATGAGAATGATGAAGTAGCAAGGAGAATAAATTTATGGTTGGGGGGGGGGGTTCACCACCACATAAGGAACTGTATGAAAGGGTCGTGGCATGGGGAAGGTGGAGAACCGCTGTCTTAATGTGTCACTGGTATTTTTCGCGGCACAGTTGCACTGTCCAGTAAGTGTTGGGCTGCCAACCGCAAGGTCTGTGGTTCAAATCCCCGCCAGCTCCCACAAAGATGTAGGGCCTCGGAAACCCTACACGGGGGCTGCCACGCATGGAGTCAAAATGGCGTGGATGGCCCCGTGGGTGGGGCGGGTCTCTGAACTGCTGGTTCCTGTCTTCTGCACCTGGAAGCAATCCTTCTCCTGTTCCACCTCCCTGCCTCTCCCAGTTCTACACCTTGTCTTTCCTCAGCAACACTGAGGGGTACATCTGGATGGGTGTCCGTTGTCGGTCCTCTATTGCCAGCATCCTCTTGCCTCGCGCCATCTTATTCTCAGCCCCTTCCCCAGGCAGAGCGCTTCAGCAGGGGCCAGGCTCCGCACCACAGTCCCTCCTGGGATGGCCACTGGATAGCGCTCATGTCTGGGATGGCCTTCCTTAACTCGGCCGGCTTTAATTTCCTCGTTTCCGGTTTCCTGGGATCTCTGTGGATCTCATGTGCTTGCTCTCTACCTTGGACTCCTTTTCCAAGATCCTATGCTGTGTTTTATTTTCATGGAATACAGTGCTTTCCTTGAAAAACAAAACAAACAGACACCAAACCAAAAAACATGTCTATTATCATTCTTTTCCTGCAAACTGTAACACTGATTTGCCTTTCATGCCTCGTTTTGTGTCTTTTTCTTCCTTTCCTTCCTCCCGCTGCCCTTCTAAGCAGCCCTGTAATGTCGTGGTGGGTGTGAAATTTCTGCTCAATCCCTCCCTCCCCACCATCCAGTCCATGCCAATGCGCAGCCTCGGAACGGGCCAGGGTAGAGCTGCCCCTGTGGGTTTCCGAGACGCTAACTCTTCACGGGACTAGAAAGCCTGCCTTCCTCCCTTGGGAGCAGCTGGGGCTTTTGAACTGCTGACCACCTGGTGGGCGGCTCAACAAGTCACCCAGGACATCGCCAGAGCTCCTCTTCGGGTAACGGCTTGTCCTTCACACACGGCTCCATCTGACCCCACCGGTTTCCCCAGGCCTGGGCAAGGGAGAGAGAGTGGTCCACCTCCCCTTAGCTTCCTGCAGGTGTCCCTTTGGGGGCAGGAGGAAGCCTCTTGGTTCGCATGGAGGGTCATCGCTCGGGAATCAGCTTCTCATCTTGGCCACCCAAGCTGTCCAACGGACTTCCCGGGTTCTTCCCCTCTTCCCCCTCCTCCCCCCTTTCCAGCCTGACCCATGCTTCCTGGTTCGGAGGCCAGGCCAGAGGAAGCAGAAGAGGCCTTTTAGTAGTGAGACCTTTGGCTGGGTGGCCTCGGGTGCCTTCTTTTCCTGTGGCTTGTCCATCCCCCAGCTCATGAAGTTCCCGGCAAATGCGGGCACCTTGGCCTTCTGGCTCTCTCCAGTCAGAGGCACCATGTGTGTGGACACAGCCCTCTCTGGCCTGATAACCACCCCCCACCCCCCCACCCAGCACGCCCTTGGCATGTGGTTGCTGAATCAGATCCGAGTGGCTGGTGGTCCTCTTCTATAGTTTGCTTACTTCTCCTCTGCGGGCAATTCTCTTGTTCCTTTTGACCCACGGCGGGGAGGGGGGGGGGCAGGTGAGGTGGGGGCAAGTTGAGTCAACCTCGTTCCACATTCCCATCTTGGTCCAGGAGACGATTTGAATCTTCAGGGAGAAAGCCTCGGAGGCTGCTTGCCCTCGGCTGGGGAGGTCCCCGCAGGAGATGATAGCGGATGGGTCTCAGAGAGGACCTGGGGCCATGCTGCCAAGCCCGACCTGGTGAGCTGGTGGAGCTGTCGCTGCCCAGGGCCCAGGGAGAGTCCAGCTGCTCCCAGGCCTCACCCGGCCTCTGTGCTCCGCAGGCCTCCCCGGTCCCGTGGAGCGTGCCCAGGTGCTCCTTGCCTCTGCCCAGCCAGGCCTTCTGAGCCGCCGGGGCCACCTCATGCAGCGAGCAGGTTGTGGAGCCTGGGCCGTGACGGGCTGAGCAAATGCCCCTGGTGCACAGCCACTGGTGGTGGGGGGAGGAGGGGCAATGACACAGGCGGCCCAGTACACTCTGCTTCCCTGAGAACCTCATGGGCACCATGAGGTGGGCGGGACCCAGAAAGGCTTGGACTTTGTCTTCAGGACCACGGAAGCCTTGTAGGCCCTGGGGAACTCAACCATGAAACCAGGAAGCTTCAGTACCTGGGTTCCCCCTCTTGGGGCCTGACCCTGGAGGGAACCGGGGCCTTGGACATACCCTAGTCCCAAAGGAGGTGATGGGGGGTAAGGGGGAGAGGCATGCCTCTTCTTACCAGCTCCCCATTCAGCCGGAGGGCATCAGCCAGTTCCAGGAGGATGGCCACGCGCTCGCTGGGCCCCACGGAGGGGCCTCGGGACTTCCTGACTTCCTCCACCCTCTGAATGGGTAACTTGACGATCATTTTCAGGGCTTTGATAGCCTCGGGATAGTCCCCAGACTTGTTGAGGGCTCTGGCCTTGATGAAGTGGTAGAGGGGGTGGTCCCGGACCTAGAGGAGCAGAGCAGAGAAGTGTGTGTGTGCATGTGCGCGCGCGCACACGCATTGGAGACTGGAAATCTAATCCACAGCATTGCCCTCGCTGCTCACAGCACCCAGGGCAGAGCAGACCCAGAGCCCTCGGAGCCCGGTCCTGCCTTCAGCCTGTAGAAGGCTCTGGGTGGTGGTGGTGCAGGTAGGCCCTCCCCCTGGGGCTTCTGGGTACCTGGAAGTTGTGGCTGACGCCCATCTCCAAGCAGTGGGAACACAGGGCAAAGTTGCCCTGAGCCAGGTAGATCTGCGCCAGGAGCAGGTGGGTATCGGTGGAGGTCGGGTCTAGCTCCAGGCAACGCTGCAGGATGCTCTGGGCATTTTCCAGCTCTCCTAGAGGGGAACGGCACACCTCTGTCCGGGGCGCAATGTGCAGACGCAGAACGCCGTTGCATGCCCGTGTCCCAGAGACACCCAGGTGAGGCTTTCCCGGCAGTCTGCTTCCCTTGGAGGCCTTCTCCTTAAGGTCAGCAGGCGTAGTGATTGCCTGGACCCTGAAGCCCTCCTCGCCCCTGGTGTTCCTTAGGGAGGCACTGCTTTTTTTAAGTGATGGTTTCATTGGGGGCGCTTACAAATCTTATTACAACCCTTCATTCAATTGTATGAAGTACACTTGTGCATGGGTTGCCATCAACATTTCCAAAGCATTTTCTTTCTACTTGAGCCCTTGGTATCAGCTCCTCTTTCCACCCCCCTCCCTCCCACCCTCGTGAATCTTTGACCAATTATATATTGTTATTTCGTATCATATACTGTCCATCGTCTCCCTTCACCCACATTTCTGTTATTCTTCCCCCTGGGGGAGGGCTATATATCCAACCTTATGATGGGTTCCCACTTTCTCCCCCTTTCCCCTCTTCCAACCCCCTCCCCGCATGTTATCACTACTACTACAGTTCCTGAAGGGTTTATCTGTCCTGAATGCCCTGTGTCTAGAGTTCTTATCTGTACCAACGTGTGTCCTCTGGTCTAGCCGGATATGTAAGGTAGAACTGGGTCATGGTAGTGGGGGGAGGAAGCATTCAGGACCTGGAGGAGTGTGCGTTTCCTCGGTGCTCTACTGCACCCTGGTTGAATCATCTCTTCCTTATTAACTCTTCTGTGGGGGGACATCCACTCGTCTACAGATGGGCTTTGGGTCTCCACTCCAACCCCCTCTTTTGTATACTGGGGGAGACACTTGATGGCTCCCTACAGATGCTGGGGGAGAAGACCGGAGCCCTAATCCCCATGCCAGAGAGCAAGAACTAAACCTAACGGTGACGATCAGCCACACTGGCCAGGAGTTTTGAAGTCCCTCCTCTGCTCCTGGCACGAGCAAAGCGCGGGAAGGTCCGGTCTAGCGTTTGTCCAGCCCTGACAGATAGGCTGGCATGATGAGGATCCTCGTTCTCAAGGGGGGTGGCCCTTGCGGCCCTGGGTGAGGAGGGTCTTGCATGGGGTCTGCAACACTGTGGGTGAGGAGGAATCCCCGGACTCCCTGCTCCTCCTCTCTGCACCACTGGAAGGTGAGGAGGTCCCCATGGCAACTGAGGCAGCTGGGACCTTACTTTGGACCCCAGGACCCCGCTGGGAATCTTTCCTGCCATGCCTTATGCTCAGGAGGGCCTGGCAGCTGTGGCTAAGCCGGGCACCCGGATGAAGACAGGGAGGGCCAGGAGCCCAGGGCAAGACCAAGCCCACCGTGGGGCAGGGTGAGAACCCGCCGGGGAGGGTCCCCTTCTGCCTGCAGGGCCTGAGTCTTGGGGTGGGAGAGGCTGCAGGCTACTGCCCTGACCTCTCAGGGCTCTGAGGCCCATAGGAGGGCCAGTCCAGGGTCCAGCGAGAGCCCAAGGGTTGGTCAGTTGTCGCAGTCATGTGCAAACACTCCCTGTCCAGGATGGCCACGGGTGGGGAGATGGGAAAAGCAGGGGTCTCCTCTTTGCTGTGCTGCTTCCCCGAGCAAGTCTTGGAAAAGGCAGCCTCTCTGTCGCATCCCCTTCTTTGCCTCCGTGCCCTACGTAGCCCGGCCGAGTCCTCACACGCTGTATCATGTGCTCTGCTGCTCTGTGTCCTGTTTCTGCTTCTCTGGTGGCCTGTGGCTGTGGCATTGCCCCTGACTCACAGCGCTCTCCTGGGTGCATCAGGGTAGGATGCTCTTCCACGGGGCTTTCAACGGGTAATTTGGGGGAAGGGGGTTACCAGGACTTTCTTCAGCAGCACGCTGATGTAGAGTCGAACCTACAACCTTCGAGTCAGAACGCCAAACTTGCTAACCATTTGCACCACGCAGGAGGTACATTTCCCCTTACTAGAACTCAACCTCCAGGTGGGTGGGACGTTGGACCTACTTTGAACACAACTGTGTACGTGCTCTGGTGTTGGGGTTACCTGTCTGTGAACTACAAGGTCGGCAGTTGGAAACCAGCAGCCCCTGCGAAGGGGCTTTCTACTCCTAGAGTTAGTCTGAGAAACCCACAGGGGGCATTCCACCCTGTCCTACAGGGTCTCTATGAATTGGCAGTGAGTTGGGGTTTTTGGGTTTGGTGTCTGCGCCCTGGTGACCGATGGGGCTATGAGCTGGGCTGCTAAGTGGTCAGCAGTTCCAAACAGCCAATGGCCCCAAGGGAGGAAGATGAAGTTTTCTGCTCCTGTAAAGAGTTACAGTTTTACTTTGTCCTACAGGGCTGCTGTGAGTTGGAATCCACTTGACGGCAGTGAGTTTGGGGAAAGTGGTGCTCTAGTACTCAGAGCAGTGCCTGGTGCAAAACAAGAGGCTCAGTGTCACACCAGAAGTTCAATGGCAAAGATCAGAATATCAGCAAACGTGAGGGAGAGAGCCCTGGTGCTGAGGCTGAACAGGGTGGTGGCTAGGGGCTGGAGGCTGGACAGAGAGAGAGAGAAGCATCCCAGCTAGGGAGCCTGTGAACCCCAAACCCGTGTGTATGTATGTGTGTCTGTGTCTGTCTGTATCTGTCTCTCTGTGTGCATGTGTATGCATGTGTCTGTGTATGTATATGTCTGTGTATGCATATGTCTGTCTTTATGCACGTATATGTATGTGTGTATGTGTCTGTGCATGTGTGTGTGCATGTATGTATGCATGTGTGTGACAGTCTCTCTGTGTGTCTTTGTGTATGTATATATGTGTATGTCTATAAATGCATGTGTGTCTGTCTCTGTGCATGTTTATGTGTGTATGTATGTCTGTGTATGTGTGCTGCATATATGTCTGTGTATGTGTCTGTCTCTGTGTATGTATGTGTATGCATGTGTTTCTGTGTATGTGTATAAGTGTATGCATGTGTTTCTGTATGTGTATGTGTGTATGTGTATATGTATGTGTGTGACTGTCTCTGTGTGGATGTATGTATATATGTGTGTGTGGTGTGGTGCATACCAGCCAGGGGCCTGTGGACACCAAAGCTGAAGAGAAGGCCCCTCCCCCACCGGCTGCGTGAGGGCTGCAAGGCCCCAGCTGCCCCCCCAGGCGGCGCTCACCTGAGAGGTACTTGACTTGAGCAGACAGATAGAGGGGCTCGGTCAGCCCAGGGGCCGCTTTGATCACAGGGCTCAGGATCATGGCAGCTTGCTTAAGAAGTGGAGACACGATCTGGCCTGGTGACCGGGGCTGCAGGACATGGGGTCAGGTTCTGTGGTCTATCCGGAGCAGGGGAGACCCCTTTCTCAAAGCCACGTGGATGCTCCAACGGACAATATCCCACCCCCTTCCAAACCCTCTAGTGCACAGGCTCCAAAACTTATTTGGCCCACTGCCTCCTCTTCAGAAAAATAATTACTCAACACCCACAGCTCGACAACGAAAAACTTGTGCACCATAGCCTGTAATCCTGGATTAAGTGGAGGTATCTGCTTTCCCAGTTCCCCAGGATCCTTCCAGCGTACACTGACGGGTGGTATTGCCCATTCTGCGCTCGGGAGACTTGGGGGGGAGGGGCTTTGTTTTGTTTCCTGTGTGGCCCCACTATCCAGACTGCTGCCGAGGTCAGGATGTATGAGACTCACACCTTGCCCAAAGGAATTTCAGTGGGCTGGGAAAGCCGGATGAACAAGTACAGATAGACACACTTCCTAGAAGACTTCGGGACAGGGAGCCTCGTTCTTCTGTGGGATGAAGGCATTAGCAGGGGGCAGGACCCCCCCACTCCACAGAGCATGGGGCTCAGGCCAGCGGCTGGGCGCTGGTTAGAAATGCGGGGACTGCTGGCACCAAGCCTGCTGTGTCAGGACCTGTCCCACACCAGCACCCCGGGGGATTCTGCTGGCCGCCCCTGGGGAAGAAGTATTGTACCACCCGGCCACCCGAGGTTCTGGCCAGCCTGGTGATGGGCCAGGCAAAGTCCCCGTCTTTCCAGTGTGCAGCTAGACACCAGACTCTGGCTGAAGAGACGGGCCTGCCCCTCACCTGCTTGGGGCAAAAGAGCAAGTGCTCCCGGACAATGAAGACCAGGAAGAAGGGGTTCAGCTGCTCGAAATACTCGGGGCTCAGGGGAAGGCCCTGCATGCTGGAGAAATGCAGCTCAGCTGCTTCCTTCAGGAGTGCTGTGGCCTCCTGCTCCGCCTTGTGCTTCCGGGATACCAGCAGGGCCTGCAGGAAGGCCAGCACCTGGGGGGAGTGGGGGGTTTAGAGCCCACACCGCCGCAGGCCTGGGCAGAGTGGGCAGCGGAGAGGGTGGGTCCCAGCCGCCCGGGGAGGAGAAGGCTGGGCAGCACAAGGAGGGGGTAGCCATGCCCAGGAGAGCTCAGACCTCAGACCTCCCGAGGGACTGCTGCACTTCCTTCAGGAACTCCAGCTGCTGCTCCGCCTCCTCCAGGTGGCCTTCCAGGAGCAGGCACCAGATGATCCCTGCCAGAGGACAGGACACAGGTCAGCGCAGGCCCAGCTGTCCAGCAGGCTGGGAAGCTTGGCTGAGAGTCAGGAAGGAGGGGCCCCAGGGCAGGACCCCTGGCTCTGGGCGGCAGCATCTCTCCGTGACCTGAAAGAGCAGTACAAGGGCTTGGAAGCACGACAGGAGGTACAAACGCCTCTCCCTTGTGCTCTGGCAACCGGAAGGAAGGTCAGTGGTGTGAATGCACCAGTGGCTTTTTGGGGGTGGGGTGGGGTTGGGGGGAGAGACCTGGAAAAGCAGATTCTCAAACAAGCGCATACCAACAAGACTCCTGCCAGACTCACGGCCACAGAGACAAGGCTGGCTCTAGGCAGCCGCACACGGTGTTTGTGAGAGGCTGTGGTGATTGACAGGGACACACAGCCTTATCGGCGAAGCTGGTGGATTTGAATCACCGACCTTATGATTAACAAGCAGCCGAGCCCTTCCCTGACAGCCCCAACAGCCCCCCTAAAGGTCGCTGTGCTCTGGGGCAGTTCTGCGGCTGGAATTGGGATGGACTAGATAGTCCGCAGCAGCAGCAGCCACCACCCGGGAGTCCCTGCGTGGCACGCACAGTCAGCCGCTCGACTCCTACCCAATTACGTAGGAGACTTCGGACAAAGGCCTTGAAAGGTCACAGCCATGGCCTTGGAAATGCAGTGGAACAGGTCTGTCCTCCACACAAGACATCATGGGAGTCGGCATCGACCCGGCAGAGCTGTTGGGGTGCACTTGCTGCCGTCTTCCTAACCACCACCTTGGTTTCCAGTGACAGCCATCCCACTCTGTGGCCTCCGGGGGGAGTTTCTTGGGGGTCCTGGCCACGCTGTGTTTCACGCTTAGGGCTGCTAACCAACATGTCAGCAGCTTGAGACCCCCAGCAGCTCCTCGGGAGAAAGACGAGGCTTTTGATTCCCGTAAAGAGTTACCGTTCGCTTGATCACGGACAATGTAACCGAGAGGAATCGCTGAAACCCAAAGGAAGGCTGAACATGCTAGTGGAACAAGAGGCATGTAAAAGGAAACAGAGGAAAGAACAAGGAGGCAAAGGACATTTATAGAGGTCTAACTACAGGCATGTACATATGTAAATATATTTATATATGAGGATGGGGAAAATAGATCTATGTACGTATATTTATAGGTTTAGTATTAAGGTAACAGATGAGCATTGGGCTTCCACTCAAGTACTCCCTCAATGCAAGAACTCTTTGTTCTATGAAACTTGGTATACCATGATGCTCACCTTCCCGACATGATCGCTGAAGACAAAGTGGATGCATAAGCAAATGTGGTGAAGAAAGCTGATGGTGCCCGGCTATCAAAAGATATAGCATCTAGGGTCTTAAAGGCATGAAGATAAACAAGTGGCCATCTAACTGAGAAGTAACAAAGCCTACATGGAAGAAGCACACCACCAGCCTGTGTGGTCATGAGGTGTCAATAGGATCAGGGATCAAAGAACAAAAAATCATATCATTGTGAAGGAGGGGAAGTGAGGAGTGGAGACCCAAAGCCAGTCAGGGTGCACTATAGCACCGATGAAACATACAACTTTCCTCTAGTTCTTTAATGCTTCCTCCCCCACTATCATGATCCCAATTCTACCTTACAAATCCGGCTAGACCAGAGGATGTACACTGGTACAGATCAGAATTGGAAACACAGGGAATCCAGGACAGATAACCCCTCAGGACCAATAATGAGAGTAGTGATACCAGGAAGGTAAGGGGAAGGTGGGGTAGAAAGGGGGAACCAATCACAATGATCTCTATATAGCCCCCTCCCTGGGGGACAGAAAAGTGGGTGAAGGGAGACATTGGACAGTGTAAGACATGAAAAAATAATAATAATTTATAAATCATCAAGGGTTCGTGAGGGAGGGGGGTGGAAATGAGGAGCTGATACCAAGGGCTCAAGTAGAGAGAAATGTTTTGAGAATGATGATGGCAACAAATGGACAAATGTGCTTGACACGATGGATGGATGTGTGGATTGTGATAAGAGTTGTACGAACCCCCAATAAAATGATTTAAAAAAAAAGAGTTACTGTTCTCAGAAACCCACCAGGCAGCTCTGCCGTCTGGCAGGGCCTCTAGGTGTTGGAAACGACCCGGTGCCAGTCAGGTTGTGTTTTCTTGATGGAGCTTTTCCTTTGCCAGTCAGGTTTCAACTTTTTCAACAACTTTTATTTATTTATTTGGTGGTGGTGATTCTCTGCACTTTTCTAGCATGTTCTTTACTTCTTGGCATAATAGCCTCCTCTCCGAACGCTGAAGGTGAAGGGCAGGGTGGGGGGTGGGGGTGGGGTGGGGTGGGGGGGTTGGGGTAAGAATATTTTCTAGATCCTGCCTTAACTTTACCCTTCAGACTCAGAAACCAAGCTCACTGCTGTGGAACCAGTCCCGACTCATGGCCTTACACCGTGGAATCAGTCCTGACTCATGGCATCACACTGTGGAACCAGTCCTGACTTGTGGCCTTACACCGTGGAACTAGTCCCGACTCGTGGCCTTACACTGTCATGGCCTCACACCGTGGAACCAGTCCTGTCTCGTGGACTTACACTGTGGAACCTGTCCCAACTCTGGCGTCACACTGTGGAACCAGTCCTGACTTGTGGCCTTACACCGTGGAACTAGTCCTGACTCGTGGTGTCACACTGTGGAACCAGTCCCGACTCGTGGCCTTACACCGTGGAACTAGTCCTGACTCAGGGCGTCACACCGTGGAACCAGTCCTGACTTATGGCCTTACACCGTGGAACTAGTCCCGACTCGTGGCCTTACACTGTGGAACCAGTCCAGACTCGTGGCCTTACAATGTCATGGCCTCACACCGTGGAACCAGTCCTGTCTCGTGGACTTACACTGTGGAACCAGTCCTGACTTGTGGACTTACACTGTGGAACCAGTCCTGACTTGTGGACTTACACTGTGGAACCAGTCCTGACTTGTGGCCTTACACTGTGGAACTAGTCCTGACTTGTGGCCTTACACCGTGGAACCAGTCCTGTCTCGTGGACTTACACTGTGGAACCATTCCCAACTCTGGCGTCACACTGTGGAACCAGTCCTGACTTGTGGACTTACACTGTGGAACCAGTCCTGACTTGTGGCCTTACACCGTGGAACTAGTCCTGTCTCGTGGACTTACACTGTGGAACCAGTCCCGACTCGTGGCATCACACCGTGGAACCAGTCCTGACTGTGTCCTTACACCGTGGAACTAGTCCCGACTCGTGGCCTTACACTGTGGAACCAGTCCCGACTCGTGGCGTCACACTGTGGAACCAGTCCTGACTTGTGGCCTTACACTGTCATGGCCTCACACCGTGGAACCTGTCCTGTCTCGTGGACTTACACTGTGGAACCAATCCCGACTCTGGCGTCACACTGTGGAACTAGTCCCGACTCGTGGCCTTACACTGTCATGGCCTCACACCGTGGAACCTGTCCTGTCTCATGGACTTACACTGTGGAACCAGTCCCGACTCTGGCGTCACACTGTGGAACCAGTCCTGACTTGTGGCCTTACACCGTGGAACTAGTCCTGACTTGTGGCCTTACACCGTGGAACTAGTCCTGACTTGTGGCCTTACACCGTGGAACTAGTCCTGTCTCGTGGCCTTACACTGTGGAACCAGTCCTGACTCGTGGCATCACACCGTGGAACCAGTCCTGACTTGTGGCCTTACACCGTGGAACTAGTCCCGACTCGTGGCCTTACACCGTGGAACCTGTCCTGTCTCGTGGACTTACACTGTGGAACCAGTCCTGACTCGTGGCGTCACACTGTGGAACCAGTCCTGACTCATGGCGTCACACTGTGGAACCAGTCCTGACTGTGGCCTTACACCGTGGAACCAGTCCCGACTCATGGCCTT